CATTCCAAGATGAGCATTTCCAAATCATCTCAGGAATAAACCTTGACACGGTGAAGATGGCAGGGAGTGCCTCGCATTAGAAAGCTGCATGTGACAGCTCAGAATGCTCTCAGCTGTGCTGAGACACTCCCTGGGAATGCACTCACCTCCAGGCTATCCAGGATTTCCCTGGCACCAAAGATTCTCAGCACGGAGCTGCCGTCCTGGTTGCTGAGCAGCATCTCGGCCTGCTCAGCGTAGAACCAGCGGCTGAAGGGCACCTCGGTGCCCTGCTGCTGCTGCCCAGCCCCGGCGCTGCCCCGCACCGCCGCCGTCACCCACAGCGCGGCCCGGCTCCTGCTCAGCTGCTTCAGCTGCTTGGCCCTGGGGCTGTGCATCCTGATGGAGCACCTGTAGTGTCCTGCGGGAACAAGACAGCTTGGAGGGTTTCTCTCCGTGCAAGATTGCTGGGACTTCTTCAGGGAAAAGCTAACAAAGGTGGTAAAGCTCAGCCAGCAGTGATGAGGAGTGCACAGATGGACTGGGACCGTGTGTCTGTGGAGTCAAACATCACAATTCCAAGTACTACAACTAAAGAATCATTCCTTGTCCCAAACAGGACATCATGAAAAAAACCATTATGCTGGTAACTTCCAGTCACATTCTATTCTAATATGCAATGGAGACTCAGTTTCACTTTGAACATAACACACTAATACTGAAAAGCTTTACTGAAAACAAAACTGAAAATCCTATTTCATATTCTTTTCAACTAGTGTTAAAATTTTAGCCACCCACCATCACCATCAATCTGTGAAGATGTAGTTTATTTATAAAAGCTCCTTTAAAAGTTATATATTCACTATGTTTCTAGTCTCATATGGGACCAATTAATCTGTTATTAGCAGTAAAGGTAGTAAAAACTTCCTAGAGAATGGAAGATAAAAAGCATAAGTAACAAGGAAAACTTGCCAGGTGCATTTTCCCCTTATTTTCTTCCCCTAGCTAAGTAACAGAGGCACATGCAGGGCAGAATAGGGGTTTACACAATGGGTGCAGGGATTAATCTAACAGATAATTAATGTTCTTTCAGTAAGGCCCATGGTGGTTTCATGCTGTTCTAAATCAAGTTACACTTTCAAAATATTAACACATTTTGTAGACTTGACCCACTGAAACAAGAAGTGTCCGCGTGAGCAACTCACTGAGGCCTGAGCTCCTACACAGCAAAGCCCAGAGGCTTCAGAAGGAAAGAGAGGAGGTTGATATTAGATGTTAGGAAGAAATCCTTCCCTGGGAGGGTGGGCAGGCCCTGGCACAGGTGCCCAGAGCAGCTGTGGCTGCCCCTGGATCCCTGGCAGTGCCCAAGGCCAGGCTGGACAGGGCTGGAGCAGCCTGGGACAGTGGAAGGTGTCCCTGCCATGGCAGGGGTGGCACTGGGTGGGCTTTGAGGTCCCTCCAACCCAACCCATGGTGCTGGGATTCTGTGGAATCTGCTGAACCAGAGAGCTTGTGTTTGTCTGCAGCATGGAATCTTGTCATCTCTTACCTGAAACTGCATCAAATCCAGGTTCTGCCACAAAAATATCCTGTGCTGGGAAGTCAAAGGCATCACTGTTGAAATCGAGATGACAACTGATAATGGACTGGGGCTGTAACTCAGCAATGGCTTCAATCTGAGCAGGTGAACACTCCCCTAGGGGGAAGGAAAAAAATTCATCTCTAATTAAATACAAAATAAAACTGTAGCTGATTAAGTTGAATTAATTAAAAGTAAAATCATGGCTTGTAGCACTGAGTTATTCTACCACCTTCTGAAATAGTTTCACAAGGTTATGAGGGTCTTAATATCACTGGAAATCACAGACAGCTGCCTTTGCTCAGGGTCTAATCCCAAAGAGACAGCAATGAAAACTTCATATGTTGTGGGGTTTTCTTGACAGGAATAATTTATTTACAGGAAAGAATAAGCTGCAAAGAATCTTCTACTCGCATGTCTCTCGAATAACTTACATGATCCCGGGAGCCTTGAGTTAGATTTTAGTATCTGGTGAAATGATTTTTTGGTAGGCTAATAACTTACATATGGCAAAATAAAATACTATTGGAAGAAGTGCTGCTTGTTAAGCTAGAAGCTAAAAGGATCCGTAACCACACAAAATACAGCACATTAAATAGAGAACACACTATGATGCTTAATGTTTGCATTGATTCTAACTGGTGATAAGCTCTGTCAAAGATTTAAGCGTGGTAACTAAGTAAGAAAATGTAACAACCCCAAGAAGGCAATTGCAATTAAACATAAAAGCAATTAGGTGATTGCCCATTAACTGTCGTTCGTATGATCAAAAATGGTACCTCTACTGAAATCTACTGATTTTGTTACTTGTGAAATATTAATAGTGCTCCAGAACACCTTCCAAATTCTATCCCATGGCTCCTAGAGCTCCCGGGACTCTACAAAGGCATTTGAGGTTCCTGGGGATCTTGTTACCCTTAAACAATTAACAAAAACCCCACAACACAAACCAAAGCATCATGAATCAATAAACAAACAATAAACCATCAGCATAAATATTTTTTAATCATACCTTTCAAATTTTTGTTTGTTTCCCCAATTGAAACTATGACTTTTGAAGCTGCCACTCCCTGCAAGCCTGCCTGCACACCACTGACATACATTGCTGTAGTCCTCTGGGGTGCATTAATCAAGATCTGAAAACAGGATGAAACACATTGTTACCAAAAACTGTTTCAACAAATAAAAATGAAGGCAAAACCAGACTGGATTAGTTGTAAAAGACTCCACAAAGCCATGTTTTTCTTTGAAATCCCAGATTTCTCTATTATTAGAAAGTGCCTTTCCAAGCAATTTAAGCTAGCAAAAACATTTTGTCTTCCTACCCAAACCCCAGAAGTTAATATGCATAAGGCTTTATGTCTAAATTTAATTTAAAAAGAATGTCTAGTGCTTATGCTGGCTGATGCAGTGAATTGTGTCAACAGTACGACAGCATAGAGATAAACAAAATAATTTAAGCTGATCAGTGATGCATGGCACAACACTTGAGCAACTTCTTGTTGGCATCTAATCCTGCAGTGAAGTTTCATTCATAATAGCAGCCATACTCAAAAATTGGTTAGCACCTGGAAGCAACTTAGCCAACAACAGAATCAAAGAACAGTAGAGAAGAAAAATCAAAATGGCTATGCTACATTTTCCTCCTTAGAAAAGATATTTAAAAAAAACATGATGTTTTGGCCACATACCAAACACTTCCCAACCATCTGCATTTCTAGAAGAACATTTCTAAATATTTATAATTTAAAAAAATCCACAGAATACAGTTTGGTTAGGTCCAAACCAATCTCAGCAGTAACAGAACAGTGCCTCACCTCTCTGTAGGTGTTCAGTAACCCAGGGATCTCATAGTAGACAGTGACCACCCCAGAGTCCCTTGCCAGGGCCACGCCAGTCTTGGAATCCACGAGAAGAAGAGCACTTGAGGAGGAGCTCCACATGCCTGGCAGGCCTGGAAAACACCACAGGGGCACTGCTCACACCCTGCTGCCAACTGCAGCATCTCCTGGGCACTGGTGTCTGAGAGGGCCACTGCCAGGCAGGGCACACATTCCCCCAGTGCCCAGGAACCACTCCGGTGTCTGAGAGTGCCACTGCCCAGCAGTTATTCCGACACAAGCCCATTAATACCAACAATCAAACACTGTGAGTGAAGGCAGGCCTGACTCTGCAGGAGTCCCACAGAACCAAGCCTTTCCAGCTAATGGAATAGAAATATATGAAGTGTGATGCTCAGGAATTCAATACAAGAGACATATTGCATAGTGCAATTAAAATTAGAGGAGTTGATCAAGCCTATTTTAATCATTAACAAGAACAGTGACATTTGATTCTGAACAAACATGGCAAATCATGCATTTAGCTTTGCTGGGACTGGTGTCCCACGGAATAGCTGCTAACCCACACAGCTGGAGGCCACTCACCTTCCGGGGCTGTCAGCAAGGTCCTCAGGCACAGGACATCCCCCACCACCACGTCTGGGAGCTCTGGGAAGATGGCATGTTGCACAGGCAGTGGGATGTAGTCTGCAGTGCCACTGTGCTCTGCATCCCACACCCTGAGCAGGGTCAGCCCCACGCTGACAGTCCTGATCACAAAGGTGTTGTTGGCGGCTCCCTTGGCGATCTGCACAAAGTCGTCCCTGCACACAAACACAAGTGCTGCTGCGTGAGGGAAGGCTTGGGAATGGCATTGTCTCTCCAACAGGAGAGGTATCAAACTCTTCAGCTGCCTGACTGCTTGTTTTCAGGAACAGTCATCTGATGAAGTCCAGCAAAGTAAGGAAATGATAAAAATTATTCAGGTGTCACTGAGGCAAATTACAGTTCTCAGTTCACCACTATGCTGAGGAAATACTGAGATCGTAATTATGCACGAAAACTACTTAATTGTGAGAATTGTAGAGCTTCTGAATGACATAATTTGCCTCTTTTTCCTTTTCTCAAGGGAGTTAGGAAGCCAAGAAATTTGAACACCAAAACGCAACTTCCCAGACATAATGTCCAGTTCTGATATCTACCCAAATTCAGCAAGGTGCTCTGCAGAAAACAAACCATGTTTCAGTAACAGCACTGGTGGTATTCTACTGAAGACCACAGGAGGCTGCTTCACAACATTTATTCTGCGAGGCAGAGACCAAAGCCTTTTGAGGCTTGTCTCTGCTGTGGGAAGGTTGCACAAGCCTATCTGAGGAGACAGCCCCTGATCCAGAATGCTCCCCACCTTACGTAAGCCCTCAGTGAGTCAGTGGATCACAGCACTGGGAGAGGCAGATGCTGATGGATCAGTTGTTTCTCTGGGCCACTGCTGCATGCAGGGGGATGATTCAGAGTCACCCAGAGCACAGCACCACTCCTGCAGGCCCCACTGGGACCACACTTATCTGGGCAGCTTTCCATGGCTAGGGAATATTGATTGCTACCTGCAACTCTCCTTCCTGCCACTGCCTCTGAAGGCTGCAGAGACAAAACCTTTGCTTTGCTACTCTCAGCCCAAGCTGTATGTTCACTTGGTATCCCTGGAACCACTTTTGTTTTATGTATGTCTGGCCTTTTCCTGCTCTGTGTAATCACCACCTGTGACAGACACCCACCTGTTGGTGGCAAAGCTGAGCACAGCATTGTGTGAATGGAAAGTATCTCCAGAGTTGTCCTGGAAATGGACTGTAAAGGTCAGTGTCACACCCAGGGGCAGGGCCTGCAGTGCCTCTTTGCTCTGGGTCAGCAGAACCGGCCTCATGGAGATCCTGAGGTAGGAGATGGGGCAGACCTGGAAAAGCATCGGCAGGGAGAAGGAAAGTTAAACTGCTTTTTATGATGCCCCTGTAAAAAGAATCGAAGAGAGTTCTTTTTATGTAAATATCCAGAGCTGCCTTTATGAGCCATCTGCATTTTGCCATATGCCAGGACTAACACATGAAGCTGTTGTTGCAAGTATCTCCATTCCAGGTTAAAGGGGCCTATGACACTGCCTAGTCCAGCCCCTCTCAAGCTGGGTTAGCCAGGGCCAGCTGGGCAGGACCATGTTCAGGCAGCTCGAGCATCTCCTCGGATGGAGACTCCACAGCTCCTGAAGCCTGTGTTCAACAGCCACCCCAGTAAAAAGTGCTGTCCCGTGTTCAGACAGTGTTTCCTCTGTGTTCCCCCTGCCCTGTCAGGCTGAGAAAAGCCTGGCTCTGTCTGCTTTGTACCCTCACAGCTGATATTTCTTAGCCCTTTTTTCTAGTACCGCTGGGAACTGAAACAAGAAACAATCATGAAGAAACATACATCACACACAGACATCAGAGAACACATTACTATCCTATCAATTCAAACTGGTAAGATTCCCTGGATATGCAAGTGAAGACGTGGCCCCATGACCTCTCTCCTAGTAATTCCTGAAATAAAAGGTGCAATTAATTGCCCAGGTATTAGAAGGGTAACTCGCAATGTATGTGTGAGTAAGGGGATGGAATGATCACTGTTGCCCAGCTCCCCTGCAGCAGGTGAGAAAGCCAAGCTGTTCCAGGCAGAGCTGGAAGCTGACAAACCCTGAGGGCTCAGAGGCTCAGCTTGGTTCCCTCAGTGCCTCTCCTCAGCCAAGACAGAAGTTGGGAACTGCTCTGAACTCCTCAGGAGAGTCTGCTCCATTAACCATATCTGCACAACCCCACGTTTCTGCTGTAACACTCCAGGCAAGAAAGGTTTTCTGAAGACAAAGACTTGACAACCTGTTCTTTTGGTGTTTCAATTGCATATTACTATTCTTGATTAACTTACCTAGGTTAACAAGCAAAATTACCCAACAAAAATAACTATATCTCTCATTTTATTACAGCTGTTAGAAAAGAAATAATAGACAGAGGAAGCAAAACTCCCCAATTATATTGAAAAAACTATTTTAAAAGAAGGCCTCAAGCTTATCTTGTAGAAAAATCCCTTTATTTTCCTGACCTAAGAGGCTCAGCTAAAATGTAAAACTTTGCAATCTGAAAATGTACATGTCAGAACTTAAAAAGGAAAGGACAAATTTGGCCTCAAGCAAAATACATCTTTGGTGAATCCAAAAAAAAAAAAAAAAAAAGTGGCCACAGGCTGCTTTCATCAGTTAAAATCTCCCTGCACATAGAGCTCTGCCCAACAAGCCGTGGTTACAAGCCAACAAAAACCCCATTTCCCTGACAGATTATCAAGCTTGCTTTACTTTAAAATCTCAGCAACTGTCTCACAAGGGACAACTACTATATGTAATATTGATGAAAACAGCCTTTTACTGTTAAAGTATCTCAGGTTTTGATGTATTTTTTTTTTAATTCAAGAAAAAAATAAAATAAAATACTGAGTCCAGCAGGCCCAGGGAAGTGCTGAGCTTGGTCCCACACTAAGCTTACTGTCACTCCTTCACCCACCCTCCCTGGCTTATGTAAGAACCCTTCTTTGACCAAGCTCAAGGTCTAAGTGTTAGGTGATGCTGCTGCAGCAGTTTGGTTCTTAATTGTGTACACTTGTAAACAGACAACACCAGACCTTATGAAAGAAGGACAAAGTGAAGGAGGAGAGCTTTGCCTCAGAATGACACAACAGATTCAAGCTCATCTCCAGCTCTGTCACAAGTTTTCTGACAAAAACCTTCAGCAAAACCTCTCAAGCTCTCTCAGCTCTTCAGCCATAAAATGCATTGTGTTACCCCATGAGGTTCAAAATATCATTTCCATAAAGGCACTACAGTTGTAGTAAGTACAGGAAAATCAATGAGCTGTACAAGGTGCTGAACTGAGATGGGCCCTACTACAGAGAGCTCTGTATCACCATCTTGGGTACAGGACAAACTCACACAGAGGGATCTGACTTCAGTCCCACTGCGTGCTGACTAAATGGTGTTTGAGCCACCCCAAACTCATCAGACATTTTTCACTTGCCAAAGGGAAGAAACAAGGTCATCAGTAACAGAGCTGGAGATGAATTTGGGAAATTCCAAAATTCAAATAAAAAATCCACCAAGACACTTCACAGTGATTACAGGAACAGCAAACACTTAGAAATAACTTAAAGCACTCAATTGTACATTTTTCTCCTTTAGCTGGGACAGAGGGAAGATGCTGACAGTAAAAAGGGATAGGAGGAAGGCGAGCAGTGGATATCTCAAGGCTCATGCTGCCAGATGCAGAAAGTTCTTGGCTCAAGGATTTTTTGAACAGAGCTGATGGGCTTACATTCCCTGGTGTCCCACGGTTCAAAGCTCAGAACTGTTAATTCCCACACTGCTCATTTTTCAGAAGTGAAGTTCAAGAAGTGCAGCCAACAATCCCTGTTGGAGCAGTGAAGATGTACTTGAGGAAAGTGCAAAGGAAGGGAGCTGACAGTACCTTAACAGCAGCTATGATGGTCTGGTTGATGCCAAACAACTCTTGTGAAATCACTTCAATGGTTGCGGATCCGATCACAGACCCAGAGACGAGGAATCCTCTCTCATCAATTTTCACTACAGGGACTTTGTCTGGTCCATCCAGAACACGATAACTTAGGGAGGCAACTTGGTCCCTGAAGCAAAACAGAAAGTAAGGAACCCTTTAAATGTGTAAAACCATATTTAGGGTCTCTTCCAATACAAACCATTCTGTGATTCCATTAAACTTAGGGTTCCTTCCCCCTAAAATGCAAATACCTCTAAAGCTTTGCCCTCAGTGTGTGTTCTACTGTCTCTATCTGACCATTATTATGCTGGGAAAACTACATTTCATGCCTGGAATGAGTCTAAAATGTCAGTCTTTGAAAACAGATTATGTAAAAAGAATTTCTCATTTGGGAATGACATTTTAATCTGAAAATCCAGCCATAACCTCTGTGTGCGAAATGCACAGAATTATATTCCACAAAGCCTCAATCACCCATCAAAACCTCTACAGGAAGCAGTCAGCAGGATACTGCTTTAACTGGCTCAGCTGCTTTTAAAAAAAGGATCTGAAAGTTCCCAATATTGAATTAATTTTACAGCTACAATCTAATAGAAGATTTGACAAAGCCTGAGAGAACAGTAAGATACCATGAACCAGCAGGTAAGCTGTGTATGAAATGGACGAACAGTGCTACTGAGAGACTGAAACAGCTCCCTTAAACACAACTGTCCTACACTGTGGATACAGGGCTGACACAAGCCACACTATGGAAACTGAGCACTGACCTGTTGGTCTCAAGTTTAATAAAGGAATTTGGTGACATGAGGATCTGCTCTGCTTCTGCCTCTGGAGTGACTAGATGAAGTTTTTCAAACACCTGGAAAGTAAGAGGCATTTTGGCCCACATTGTGTGCAGGCAGTAATTTAATTTATTTATTTAATCTTCAAAATAAATCAACAAACAAAACTAAACAGAGCTGTAACTTTCTTTCTTCTCTTGTATAATATATATGGTAAAACAAGACAACTGAACATGAGTATTTGAGAATGGGAGAGCCATTGTAGAGTATCTTGTAGAGTATCTTCTACAAGTTATTCTGAGAGTATTTATTTCCACGGTTATGGGTAAACTGGTTTGTAGTTTGTAGTAAATTCAAGAATTTTCTTCAGCATGAAAACAGAGGATTTCTCAAGGGAAAGGTGTTGGGAACGTTGGGAACACCATATTCACCCAAGTTACTTTAGACTCCCCCTAACCCCACGAGCCCCTGAACTGCATGAGCCCAAATGAGGAATATTATACAAACAAGAGTAAGGACTCAAAGATAAACCAAAGCTGGAGCTATTCTGCATTTCAAATTCCTGATCTCAAATACAGACTTCAGTCCAGTTCTGAAGGAGATACTTCAACATGAACAACTGTGTAGAAAATCATCCCACCTGAATCTGGATTTCATCTGACAGTTCTCTTGCCATGTTGTAGAACTGGTTGGCTGCAGCATCAAGAACCTTCACGACAACTTTGAGGCCTGTTCTTCCCTTTACTCTGCCATAAACATCCACTGCAAAGTTGTAGTTTGCAGGAAGCTGAACAGCAGCCTTGGACAGGAGAAAGGGATTCAAGTTTGATTCATGGAAAGCGCAGACATTGGCACCGAGGTGCTGACAACTGATCCTGGCTTTTGAGGCAGTGGAGGCAGCAACATTCCCTGCATTGCCCTGAAGTGGCCGTTTCCTTTTCCCAATCTGCACACACATGCACTGCACACACACACACACTTTACCTCACTGTGCCTTGTCCTGACATCCAGGGTGTCCCTCTTGCTGACAGACCAGTGGAACGTTAACCCCGGCACAGCACTGCCGAAGGAGAACGGAGTCTGAGCGCTGGTGATGCCCGTGACATAAACTGGCATCTGGAAAGAGAGAAACCAGCCTGCTTAGGTAATGCCAGCATGCAAACCAAACACCTGCCCACAGCAAAGAGAATTTAAATCCCCTCTGATTAAGAGATGGGGTCGCTCATGAAGAAAATGGTTCCTCCCAGAACTGCAGTGCTGTCACCAGGCGATGTGACAGCAATGAGCACAAGCTACAGTTCCAACACGTGAAGGTGACAAAAGCCAATCCCTAACCAGCTCACCTGAGTACCAGCTTTCATCCGTGTGATGGGTGCCCGAATTCTCACAGCTGTCAGCTGTACCACCTCAACTTCCACCTTGTCCTGGGAAAAAGGAAGGTAAGACACTGTAAGCACTTGTCAAACAGAAACCAGACTTCACTTTCAGGCTCTGCAGCCAATATTTTATCATTATCTAATCACTGTTGCTCTGTGATTTCTGTGAGATGTCAGAGGAAATACAGATGGACAAATTCAGTAGGACTGTAAAAAACTAAAAAGGATTATATTTTTATTTATAAACATTTAAAAATTCCCCATAGATTGAAAAAAAATCTGCTCAAAATTACTAATGACATGAATGATGGAGCTGAGAGGTGAGAGACAGCAGCAGACAAGATCACAGGGGGCCCCAGCAGAAGAGGGATGAAGAAACCCAGGGGTAAAGGAAGACACAAGAGGAGCTGGAATGAAAAGAGGATTGTAGAGCACCAAATGGGACAACTGAGAATAAAAGGATGACGTTTGACTCTGATATCTCCTCTTCATATATCCAGGCATTCCTGATAGATTTTATTCCTGCTGTGTACTGGGGAGGAAAGGTCAGACCTGGACCTCACCGGGCAGCAGATTGACCTTTCAAGTTCACTTTGCCTCCTGTCACACCATTAGGGCAGACTGCTGCCCATACATTAAAAAGCAGAGATTTCTTGATTTTTTTTAATTTACTTTGTGTCTTGGGACTGTTCTGGTACCTGTCAAGCAGCAGAGCTTTGTGGTTCACAGCAGCTGTGCTGCCCTGAGCTCAAAGGAAGAAGTCATAAGATCTGACCCAAGTTCTGTTGCTCTGAGTCTCATGGAAGTCCCAGGGACTTGTGCTCCCTTGCAGGCCTGCCCACCTCCCTCACACACAGCTGCAGGAAAATCTAAGGACACAGATTCTGAGGGAATGTCAGGGATTCACTGCTTGCACCTCAAAGATGGGTTCAGACCACAGCAAGGGATGACAGTGTTCTATACTGCTGCAGCTTAGGAGACAATTTTTTCAGCAACAGCTGCCTTCTGGATCATCCTGACCCAAGAGGGAATGCAGATCAAGACAACCAAGGCTTCTTTAGATGGGCTTTTCTAGATGCACTAACCAATTCTGACCACTCCAGACTGGTCATAAAGCCTCCCTGGTTATCTGTGAGACTGATTTAAGGCACAGCAAGATTTACCTGCCTGTTCAAAGTACTACCTGTGCTAATACCTGTGTAAGTTCAGGTGCCAGGGAGAAGGAACTCTGAGTTTTCGTCTTCAGGAAACCAGAGAAGTGCACGAGGTAACACTGCTCATGCAGAAAGACTCTGTGCCCCCTTTCAGAGCCAAAGCCACAAGTCAGAGAGCTCCTGTCAGCCCCCAACAGCACCACAAACATTACCTGGGACACTGCCACAAGCTTCTCTGTCTCTGCATCAACAGCCTGCAGCACTCCTGTCACCACCCCGCTGCCAATGGCCACTCCTCTGACCAGCCCAGAGCTGTTCACTGCTGCAATGTGCTCGTTGTCAATGGAGAAAATGATGTTGGAGAGAGGCTGGGGGCCTCCTTCAGCACTGATCTGTCAGAACAGCACACAGAACAGCCAATGAACCCTTCAGATAGTTCTGGTCACCTCTACAGCGCACACCCTCCCTGCTCAGCACCACAGTGACTTCAGTGCTGCCTGCACCTTCCAGGACAGCTCCAGGACTATTCCCCGAGGTCCTAGCAGGATGTCAGCCTGGGAAATGCACGAGCTGAGCACAGAAGTGGACCCTGTGCCTCACAGAGTGGCACAGGTTGATGCCACCTCCACTCCAGAAAGTTTCAGCAAACTTTACCTCCCCTTCTCCTCAGCACCCTGCTGTAGAGCTCTGCTCTGTGTTTCAGTGTCAACAACAAGCCCACCATGCCTAATTTCATAGAGCTGACAGATTTACTCATGCTGTGCTGGTATTTAACACCAGAAAAGCTGACACTCAGTTGACAAAAGCAAATACAAATCCTTTGATCCAGCAATAGAGCAGAACAGAAGCTGGCTCAAGAATGACATTGCACTTGCTCACTGGAGTATTCATAACAGAAACATAATGGGCTGGGTTGGGAAGGACCTCAAAACTCATCTTGTTCCATGGGCAGGGACACCCTCCACTAATCCCAGGCTGCTCCAAGCCCTGTCCAACCTGGCCTTGGACACTTCCAGGGATCCAGGGGCAGCCACAGCTGCTCTGGGCACCCTGTGCCAGGGCCTCCCCACCCTCACAGGGAACAATTCCTGCCCAATATCCCATGTGGCCCTGCCCTACTCTGGGTTGAAACCACTCCTGGTATCCTGTCACTCCAGGCCCTTACCCAAAGTCCCTCTCCAACAAGCCTGTCAGTCCATTCAGTGTGAATGCAGATAAATGTCAAGTTGAGTATTTCCTGCTGAAAATCCAGTTATGAAGATTCATTTTACAACAGAAATTACAAAGTAAACAAAATATGTAAGATGATGCCTCACCTGAATCATGGCCCCAATAATTAGGGTCACTTTCCTTGGCAGTAGTCGAAATGGGGGAAAGACCTAAAACCAGAAATATGAATACCTGTGTTCAGGATCCTTCAGTCAGATAAATTACACCACAAAACAGTACAAGTGTACAACTGAGTCTTTAGTTGCTTAATCACAGTAAACTGAGCATGCAGCAATTTAACTTATCTGAGTTAAACAACACTGAAATCTGACTGGCATTAGGTCAGCTTCCAGACAGAATGAATTTTATGGCAAATTGATTACTATACTGTAACCATAATGTATGTATTCCTCTTCCATTGTAGCACAGACTTTCTTTATGCGTGTATCTTATCTGAAATTACTGACTTCAATCTGCTGTGGAGCAGAGTTGATTCTCTGTCCTCTTCTGTCAGCCACAGTTGCCATCAGACTCGTCTGCCCAATGCTCATCCCACGCACCAGGAAAGCAGCAGTGTGGTCATCCGGAGCCTCCCTCAGGGGGCTGCAAAGAAATCCATTAAAGAGATAATAAATTACTGTGTAAATTACAAATAGCAAAGCAAAGGACTCATTTAGTGACCAGCAGTTTTACCACAAGGCTAAGTGACTGTCTGAAGCAAAGTTGAGGAAATTATCACATTTTTACACATGATTGCTCTTGGCAAACTGTGCTTTATTGAAACATTAGATACTTGAAGTGAAAATGAAACAAGTAACAGACACAGTGAGCTGGATAGCATCAGATGTGCCTTCACACAGCCCTCTTCACCTGACACTCTCTGCCAAGTCACTGCTTCCAAGATGCACAAAGCTTCATCAGTCATCACACTGGAGGAACGAAATCTCGTTCATCAGCCAGCAACATTCAGGCTGTTAGTTCAGGCAACTTCCCTCACAAGTAATCTTTTACCTTTTAACAGGTAATTAAGGCTCCACAAAAAGAAAATAAATAGACTCTCAGCCGTTGTGTATTACCATGCCTTTAACCTAATATCTTTATTCATTTTTTGCCAATTCTTGTTCACAGATTAATTTCAAAATCTATTAACTTACACAAGTGAGACAAGCTGAGATGCTGCTTTGAGACTGAGATCCATGACAGGGAAGTATTTTGCCAGAAAAGGTTTCTTTGAGTCATCCAGAACTCTGACATAAGCTTTAACTGTTTTTCCAATCTCCACCTGAAATAGATATATCCAGTCATTCTGCATTCAAACCACTCTTATTTATTAGCATAAAAATTTTCACTTGATTTAGTATTATACTTGTAGTAGGCTAGTGGAGATAGAGCCCCAAGGTTACACTAGCACTGATTTTAAAGATTAATCCCTGCCAGCTAGAGTTAGTGTCTGATGAAATGAATGAACTCGGGTCCTTCAGCTGGCAAGGGCATAATTAAAACATCCAGAAATATCAACACTTCTTTTGTTTAAGGTGCACCCAAGCTGGCAAGAGCAATGAGCTGGACTTTCTTCTGTTCAGTTTTAAAACCTGACATATGGAAAATGACCTTGGGGCAAAACCTACTTCTAAAAGAATTGCTTACATGCACTTTAAACAGGAGGAAATGTAAATGAGCATCTCCATATAAATTATGGATTAATATTACTGTGTAAATGCAAAAGCTGAGATTGCTGCCACACAGAACACGAACAGATACCTGATACTCTGAGACACTTATACCCTGAAGGGATAAATTTGGGAGGGAGAAACAGAGACACAGGGAGGTTGCAGCTGTTTCTCTGTTGTAGCATCTTGTCCATGTGTGATCTCTGTGCTCAGGACCAGCAGCACAGGGACTCAGGGCAGGCTGCATCAGCTCCTAATGCTGCTTCCAAGGCACTGACCTTGTCAACAACTCGCACGTACAATTCCTGGATATCAGACACATGAATTTCAGCTTCAGCTGGGGCAGGGAAAGCCAGACACAGGTCATGAATCATGACAGTCACTGATCCTGGGAGCAGAGGCTGCACCTGCAATGCCAAAAGAAAACTGCATTATAGCACTTCTTTTGTCTCTTGTTCACAAGGAGAATTCTTCCACCAAAATAAAAATCAAGCTGTAAAATGTATGTAAAAAGTATCAAGCTACTGAGCTAGTGCAAACAGCCCCCAGGCACCAAGTAAATTAACAGCTCTTCATCTGGAACAGTCTGGCATCCTGTTACCCTCCCGCCATCAGGAGAAAAAACACACAAATCCTTTAGAGCAACAAAATTTTCTTAAGAGTGAAAACCAAAGTGATAAGGGAAAAAAAAAAGTGAGAACAAAAATTATGCCTGTAAAGCACTGGTATTGCTTCCTGTAAGATTTGTACTCTACTGTCACTGCTTTTCATCTGAGCAGCCAAAACTTGGTGGTAGATCCTGGCAAGTAACAGGACAATTGACAGATCAGGTCTTTCTTTAATAAAACTATTATTACATTTATTTTAAAGAAAGAGAATGCTACACTTAACAGATAAAGAATAAAACAATGAAGAGAGAGACCTCTGGTCCCAAACACAAGCCCTCAGAACTAAGCACCCATCCCAAAGTCCCCTCTGCCAAGGCCATGCAGCCACACCTTGCTCCTCACATCAGCTCTACAGCTCTCCTGCAACTCCCTGACCTTGTCACAGGCCTCAGGATAATCCCAGCTGTTCTCCTCCCTTTGGCCAGGAAGCAGTGAAGTCGGGTGTCCTGCTGTGTGCTCTGAACTCTGAACAAGGGGAGATGGACAGGCCCCAGTGCACAGGAGTTCAGTGAACTCCCAGCTCTGCCCAGCAGCACCACAGGAGTCAGCAGCAGAGCAGTGGGGAAAGCTGACATTTTGTTCTGTGAGGGCACTACTCCTGTTTCTGCCTCAAAATAGAAAGGGAGGTGAAGTTTTAATAAAGGTCAGCTTCCAGAAGAGCAGCAGCTCCCAGAGAGGGTGGCTAACACAGGGGTTGGGCAGCAGGGCAGGCGAAGTGGCATAGGGAGGCAGCTGGAATGGAGCCCAGCTGGGCTGGGAGACCAGAGAAAGCAAACAGGGAAAAGGGCAAGCAGGGCTACTGCAACTCTTAAAACTCTTCCTGTCTCAGCAAACTCTGCTCTTCTCCTCTCCCATTATGTGCCCAGTGGCTCCCAGTATCCAGGGATATTGCACTGGTGACCACCCTTCACTCTTCCCCTGCTACCACCCACCCATGCCCAGAGAAGCTGCTGCATCAAAACCTGAGGGAGAGCTACAGAATTCCTCCTTGGCAGTCCCACTGAAAAGTCTGGGAATCACTGCTCCAGACAACTTGAATTTAGTTTCTCACAAGAGTTTACTGCCAACTCATCCTCTGTCAACTTGGCTGCACTGGTACCTGCCATGGCAGCAGCCTTACAGAGCCTGCTGATTTCCCAGGCCATTCTGCTGCTTCCATGGAAAAACCCAGGGCTTGTACTGGGATGTAACCCAAGCACAGCACACAGGGCTAACAAACCTGCCAAATGTGTGTGGAGCTGCGTTTCTTAAAAAATGTGCTGAATGTGGACTTCTCTCTCCTTTAATCTGACAGGCAGTTAAATCTCTTCCTACACTTCACAAAGCCTGTCTTGCTGTCACTGCTCCACTCCTGAATTCCAGACAAGAGCACTGAACCTATCTCATGTACATCAGTTAAACCCATCAGGGAGACCTGACTAAAAATGTATTAAGAGTTTGAATAGTGTACTATGTACAAAAAACTCCTCATCTCTTCTACTTTTTTCTCACCTCTCCGCCTAGTTGGAAAAAATATTCCCACCTCACACTTACAATAGTTAGAGACAATTAAAATGTTCCACAAATTCTTTTGATATTCTAATTTCCACCTTAGTTATCACTATTTCACAACTTTATCAGCATTACTTTTTAAAAGACAAACCTGTAAATTATAGTTTTATAAAAACCACCCTTTAGAGCAACTTGTTTCGTTTCAAGTTCTTGCCTAATGAAAGCAGCAATGCAAACAGAGTTTTATTGGTGTTCACTGCAGAATGCATTTCATATCCCAGGCCTGATGAAGTCAAGCACACTTGCTCTTTATTGGCATCTTCTAGTGGAAAAGTGCATTAGAAACTTCATATGGAGATCAGAATAAACTCTTTAATAGATATTCATTCACAAAAACAGGATGCAATACTGTGATTTAAAAATACCCTGAAACAACACTATAGGATAGAAGAATTTGAAACCTTCAAAACTACTAGCCCACAGAAAATACTCCAGTATTACTCTGGAAACCAATTAATCTTATGGGTAGCATCTGAATAATTCTGTCATGTTACTCTTTGTGGTATGTTTGTGAAATCAGGAACATTTTACTATAAAGTTGTAATGGGTGAAGTACTTGGAACTGGCTTTTACCTTATACAGGGAACACAAGTGCATCAAAGCTGTAATGAAACAATTTCCTGTACCTAAGACTATACCAGAAAGTGCCAGTGCAAAGATCCCCTACCTGAAGCACAACCGTGACAGGCAAACACATCCAAAATGCAGCTACTGCCTCTGTATTCACACCTGCTGCAAAATGCCCAGGAGTGCTGAAGCTGCAGACCAATAACCTGGTTGGCAAACAGGTGTAAAACCACAAAATACTGCACTCACCAAAGCAATGCCTTGGGTCTCTTCATGTGTCACTCTTACAATATTTGGCACACTGGTATTAATGAAAAAATATCCAGAACCTTGTTGGATGAGAAGTTCTGCCTGCAAAACCAGAAAAACATCCTGAATTAAGATTGTATCTTTCCAGTAAAGCTGTCTCCTCACACACCCTCTTCTGTAATGTGTGATGTTTTCCTCCCTGCAGCTGGAAAGCAGCAGAGTAACTCCTCACCTGGATGTCAGGGTGGTTGTAGATGGAGAGCCCAGTGGGGCTCACTTTCACATCTTCCACAAGCACCAGTTCAATGGTGGCAGGCCCTGGGAGCACAGCCTCGTGCTGCAAGAACAATGGTAGCAGTTACAGAAAGAGGCACAACACTGCAGAGTCCTGTGTGTGCAGGGAGGATGTTTAAGGCAGGCAACCAAAGCTCAGAGCACAGGCTGAGGGATGAGATGCCCACAAGATCCAGAGGGCTCAGTCATTCAGCACAGGGAAGGGCATCCTCAGGGCTGCTCTGTTCTGCACCCCTGGCCAAGGCAGAGGACCAGGGCCCAGCACTGCAGGATCAGTGAATGATGTCTGACAAGCACAGATAGGGTATTAACTCTGAGCCACGGCCCAAGTTCATACAGAATGATAAGGAACATGCACAAGGTGTTCTAGCTCTAACTCATCTTTTCATGCTTCTTAGCAGGCCACCAAAAGAAATTCTTCCTTAAATGTAAGTACATGAATACTGGAACAAATGCAGCTTTAATCACTCACTCGTAACAACATTAGCTCAAAAAAGGAAAAAGATTTCTAGAGGAAGTCAGTACTCTGTACCCATTTCACCTCATTAGTAGAATTATTTCCTTGATATAGAAAGGATGTGATCTTTCCCTAATGGCATAATAGGGTGTTCCACTTAAGCATGGAACAACAGTCAAGACATCTTAATATCCCATCTACTAGATTTCTGTTTGTGTTTTTGGCTGCAAGAAAGGAGAATGGGCAGGTTTGAAAGCAGAGCAGAGCAGCCCATTGCTGATGTACTTGAAAAATGCACCCACGTCACCTCATTTAAAACAAACAACTCATTCATGAGCCCACAAAGTGCAGCAGGACTGGCATCTACAGAGTCCTCCTAAATTTAAACACAGAGAATAGAACTTAAG